ATCTATCTATCTATCTATCTATCTATCTATCTATCTATCTATCTATCCATCCATCCATCCATCCATCCATCTATCTATCTGTTAATCAATAAAAATAAAAAAGAAGAACTGACACCTCTACAGTTAATGGCCAAAGTGTAAATTCTTCCATGGCTTGGGCGCCTTGTTTCCAGAAAAACACTGTAATTGTGAAAATAATGTACATAATATTGAGCATTTGGTGATAGTGATTGGATGTACACAGAATAGATTAAATCCGACTAAATAGTGTTTAAAAAAGTCTTCTGTTGAGTAGCCTAGTAAACAAAAATATCGATAATCTTGTACATTAAATGTTCTTGTGTAGCATATACTGACATATTAATCCCTGTCAGTAAAAAAAAAAATGTATTTTGTACTTTATCGATGCTGTAGGCTACCAGAAGTTTATGACGATCACTACATTTATGATATATGTGGTTAAATGTTGATTTTTTCTTCCAGTCGGTTATTTTTCATGGCCTGTATGCTATGATGTTGTGAAAATCTCTGTATCTGCTGTAATGTGATTGAAACATAATAAATTAAGTTATCATCAGGACAAGCAATTAAGTTGTTTCTTTTTTTAAATAATATCATGCCCCTATTAAAATGATTTGCATTTAAAAATAAATAAATATATATATATATATATTTTGCTTCCTCTTGTGTGTGATTGGTCCAGAAAAAGATTGCGGATTCTAATGAGACTTCCACATGTCAAAAACAGCACAGCCATAACAAGCTCAATGAAAGAGAGCACATAAATAACAGGGGCCACTAATAATGTGAATGCGCTACACTGTCATGTGTCATTTTCATATCCGCCAAAATTCAAAGTTAACCAGTTGGTAATTAATTATTACGAAAAGTACCACTACCTGATATTTTTCTGAGTCAATTTTTGCAACAACATTTGGTTGAAATGACTTTGTTTGCCAAACTAAGAGGGTGAAAACAACAACAACAAAAAAGTTGTGAAGTTAACAAGTCCTCTGTTCGACAGCCAAAGGAAGTGACACATCAAAAGGAAGTCTTGTGCGAAAACGTGTAAGGACCAGGACAAGACAGCTGGGGTAAGGATAAAATCAAATATAAAATATGTTTTTACTATTATTTAGACTACAGATTGATTGGTTGATTGAATGATTCAATCCTTATTTAACAGATGCTTTTATCATTACTTTTAAAAGGCGTCATAAAAAAATAGGTTAAACACTGCTATCAAATGAATGAAGTTAAGAAATATGATTAAAACGGGAAGATGTATAATAAACCCAATCTGCACTTAATTGGACGTTTGGTGTGAAAGAGAAGCTCACAGCTGTCAATAAGGTGTGTAGCATTTAACGTCTTAAATTGTGTGTGAATGTGAGTGTGTGTGTGTGTGTGTGTTTGATTGCTCATTGACAGTCAGCGATGGGCTTTCCCAGGGATAAACAGTAGATGGCGATAACTGAATGCAGGTCCTGTAATCAAACAGCTTTTCGTGATGTGGCCCTTCTCAGGTAGCTTCGAGACATTTCATTTTTTTTTTATTCTTTTTTAATAAATTCTATGAACGACGTAAATAAAGGTCAAACAGCGACTTGCCTCTGGATTCAACTACGCAGGGACTGTGACACCAGATGGCGATACTACTATTATTATATCAGCGAAAGGAATCCCTGTTGTTAAAAAGACTCAAAACAGCAGAGCGCAAAATGGTTTCAGCTGCAACCAACACATCAAACAAAGAAGTAAACTCTCTGCCTGATAACAAACAAGTTCAAACTATAAGGACTCAAAGTCACAACTAAAAAATACCAATATTCTTAACTTTATTTATTGGCTGGAACAGGCATGCAGTCAGATGGACCAAGTTGGACCCTCTAGGGGTCTATATCATACCTCAAGTTCAGTTACTTTAATACAAACATTGTACAATTCCACATCATTAAGTCGTCATCTTGAAGGGGGCGGAGCCATCACCTATATGCTCCTGTTATTGTTAACAATATACATGCTCCTGCTCCACCTTAACGTCCCCAAATACTTATAATCACTCCTTATCTGAGAATTTGATTGGTGCCTGTCTTTGCTCTGAGTAACTTGTGCGTATCAGCAGGATACTGTATGATGAAATAGTAACACATCTGCTAAGTCTTTCCATCTTAAGTTCATTCAAAGGTTACTGAATGCCCCATGAAGACTCAGAAAAGTCACAAAAGTAATTTTATGGGACAGATATCTTCTAACAAACTCATATCTCCAAGGAACACTTGGAGATATGTGCAATTTTGCAAAGTGGCTGACACCATTAACTATTATACTCATGTTTTTCGATATAGGATGCATGAATGAGACATTGTACGGGAAATGTGGGGTAAATCACTGCACATTTGGAGTGCAGCATATTCTGCTAAAATAGCTCTCATGAGTAAGCGTATATGCCCACTGAGTCACAGTCTAATAAAAAACCACTAAGACATTGTTACATAACCTAAAATAAAGAGCATTTCACCCGGAAAAAAGCACTCTCTCTGCTCACCTCTGCGTCCGAACAAAGGCTTAACGTTTAAGAGCCACGCGTCCACGTCAGCTGGCAGAGATGCGCATGTTTCTAAGAACGAGGACACGCAGGAGAGGCGCGAGCGGCTGACCGACGGTGATATAAACATGTGACCGCTGTTTGGTCGCTCAGATACTGCTACACCTGCCCGGATTCTTACACGGCGGAGGTCTCTGCTCCATCTCTCTGACACCGCACGGTGATATACCGCCGAGAGAGGAAGATGGAACCCACGGACCAAGGTGCTCAGATAGAGCCGCTGCTGCCAACGGTAAAGAGCCCCGATCTCCTGGGACAAATATTGTTTACCTATACTCATGTAGATTAATATTTCAGAACGCCTTTTATCCAGACCGTCAAGCCGAATATGTGTGTTATATCCAGAAGACTAACATTTAAGAGTTATTAAAAATGCAACCATTTCTAAAGGAGGCTTATCCTTTTTTTTTTTTTTTAAGTTAAAATGTTTTCACAGAGTAACCTGTGGAGCTCTGAACAGTTGAGGCTCACCTGCAGAGCTCCACTCACTTACATAAGAGGAATGCCATTGTGATAATGCATCACTGATGAAGCATTTTGTTCAATCTATTGCTTAGCGAGCCAGAAATGTGACTCACTGTAACCTTTGCATGACGTGAAAGTTACTTTCTGAATTGAAACAGGAACTACCAGGAGGCTTTATGTGTCAGTGTGATGCTCTTTTACAGTATAGCCTATAAAGCTATAGGCTGAGTGATTACAGTAAGTGATGTTACTTTGTGCTATATCATTTTATACATCTCTGTGGGGCAGATGTGCGATTAATACAGTAAATCCAGGCAGAAGTGACCTCGTGTCATTGTATGCTGCAATAAAGTTGATTATGTTTTTTTTTGTAAAATGCGGCAAATGTATGGTGGCGTCATGCTGTTCTGACAAAGCTACAGGATCAAATGCATTCTCTGGCAGCTCTAGGTCACACAGACATGCTTACAACAAACTCTTCCAACAAGTATCTTGGGATGAAATGTTCTGTTGAAAAATTCTATTGATATATAAGAAGTCTCTCCGGGGATGCTCACGCGTGGGCCCATCCCCATCGGTCTTTGCTGATCACTTTGGAGGAGATATGTTGTCACATATGCTGTTTACATACAACAGATTTTTCCATTGAGCTGAAGGTTTTAGACTGACTGAGCTTCTTTGCTCGGGTATTTAGAGCCACTAGGCTTTGATTTCAAAATGTAAGGTTGCAACCCCGGCCTTGAAAGTCACTGAACATTTAAAAGTCTAAAAATAACAGTTCAGAGTTAATCTTTTTCTGATTCGGAGCGACACATGTCTGAGCATAAAGTGTTTTGAGTTGCTGAATAAACCCTTCCAAACTAAAGTGATGATTGTTTATCTTTCAGGTCAACTCTTCCTTTGGCTCATCAGTTGGGCGTAGAAGTTTGGTGAGTTACATTCCCTCAGGCCTGTAGGGTCAACATTGAAATTAAAGACTAGAATGTACATTTTTATTGCATTGAGGACATTTTTATAAGATCAAACTCTTACATGTGTAATAAGAAGACAAACTCACTAGTGGAGCTGCAGAAACACTCCTGGGAGTAACCAAGTTGATCTGATGTGCCATGACAGTCTTGCATATGAAGAGGAAAGAGAGGAGAGATGGTGGAAATCAAGCTTTGTCTTTGATGAGATGTTGCTGGGCAGCAGTAATGATGTCAGCGCTATAATCTCATGATGAGAGACTGTCGATGGATGCTAACAAATTACAGTTGTTTGGCACAACAGAAGGGGGTCGGTGTCTATCAGGCATGGTGTGAAGCAGGGCAGCAGACGTTTGCACTGCAGAGCTGCAGCATTTCGACCGTGCCGCACTCTGTCCAAACTCAGAGGACACAGCGGGAGAGCTCATGCATTCGAAAAACTTGGAGGCTCCTTGGCTCTTCAAAGATCAGGTAGGACAAGCGCCGTTTGGATCCAGGAAGTACTCAGATTGTGACGTGGTTAAGAGAGGGCAAGATGTGTTTCACAGAACAGACATTTGGGACATTTTTGTAGAAAGGGACCCCGATCTCTAAGTGTCCAAAATCAGTGTAGATTCTTGGCAAAAAATACGAAAGTGGAAAACAGCTTTCTCCTACTGACCGCTTCTGATCCATTTTGCAGCTTGGAGATGGATGCAGACACTAAGTCTGCCAAAAACGAGGGTTCAAAACTGTAAAACACCTTAAATAGCATTTTTTGGAGAAAAAAAAACGAAATACTAATGTGTCCTCTTACAGGATGTTGACGTTTATTGCAGACACATTTAAGGATTACAGTGTTTTTTTGTGCCACATGAAAGCCTGTGCAGTTAATGATATTGCTGCCACTGATGGTTCCAAAATTGCCACAGCCATCTGTAGGGATCAGA